CTTTTTTTCCCTACAGATCAAAATTGAAGAATTTCCTAAGAGGTACTACGAAAAAGAAGGAAAAAATTTCAAACTTTTGTTTACTCCCCTTTGCCTGGAAGGGAAAGTAAATAGTAAAAGTTTATCACTCTAAATTCAATGTTTTTTTCTTCCTAAGTGCAGTATTTTATTTAACCACCATAGATTAATTTTACAATAATTATAGTGCCTTAAAATTTTTTCCTATAATTATCTCCTTCATAAATTCACTAATATATTTAACTTTCCTACAATGCATTAAAATCAATAGACTATGTCACTGAATCAAATTAAACCTGTGCAAAGTTAAACAGAAGATTTCTAGGTAAACATATGCCACAATAAACGTATGCATTTTACATTAAAAGGAAAGCACTGACCCTGTGTCATCTACCTATAACTGTACTGCATTGTCCTGTGAAAGTTCTGAAGTTAACTTTTGTCCCCAAGCCAATGGAATAAAGGTCACTGAAGAGGTGAATGTAATCTGCATCCCTCTTGCAGTTCCTACTGCTATATGATATATGAAAGCAAATGCGTGTTAAAATGGAACTAGCTATAAATTATGGTCAAATGATTTTTTTTTAGTTTGATGGGGGGAAAAAAGCAAAACTCTGTAACTGTTCCTCACCAGACAAGAGCCTTAGATCTTGTACTTCGGCCTTTGGTTTTGTTTCCTTCAGGTGAATTGGAAGCATTTGCCTTATGAGTTTTCTTATGGTGTTCAAGATAAGTCTTTTTGGCAAATGCCTTTCCACATTTATTACATCTGTGAAGAGAAAAGTTTTTTGTGACTTTTACTTCAATACCGACGTCAGCTACCTCATACTTTTTACTAGGAGAATTAGAAGTGCCATCATGTTTCGAATCGTTAGGTTTTGCTTCGTCTCTTGAAGGACCTCTTTTTGCCACTTTATTTAGAACAAAATCAATAGGCTTTTTTATAGCTCTGATCTCTAAGCTGGCTGTTATTTTCCCAAGATAGCGAGATGACTTTTTATGAACCACAGTTATATGTCGTATCACATCACGTTTCCGACGAGTTTCATAAGTGCAAAGAGGACACTTGTAGAATTTAACATAAATGTTATTTCCATCTGTGTGCAACTCAATGTGTTTAGTCAAGTTCTGTTTGGAAGTAAACTGACGTTTACAAAGTTTACAGTAAAGTTGCTTAAAGTCAAAGCCAGCTGAAAGTTTTGGTTTCCTGGGTTTTTGCTGGCCACCTGCAGCTGACGGACTAGTTGATTTAGGGCTTTCAGAGTCCTGTTTAACTTTATTTTTCTGTGCTGCCGGTGTGTTCTTTTTTTCATTTGAATGATTTGTTCCCTTTAATTCATTCTGTGGAGAATGGGTAATGGAAGGGGGTGAAGATTCTACTGAATCTGCTGGTTCAACTATAACTTTTATGTCTGAACTGTTGGCAGTATTATTAGGGCCTTTCTCTCTTTTAGAGTTTGTTCCAGAAAGAGTTATCTTGTGGACAATTTGCATATGTCTTTTAAGCATTATTTGTGAACTATATTTCCTCTTGCAAAGAAGGCATTTGCATGCAGTTAAATTGTATTCAGCCTTTGAAGACGACTTTTGTTTTCGAGTCTTAAAAGATTTTTTAGGAGAAACAGAATCCAGGAACAAAGGTTGCCCAGGCTTTGTTGCTATATCAGGAGTAATTGAATCCCTCCTTAGTCCTCTATGAACTTCATCAAAATGCCTCCTTACATTCGCTTTTGTAGCAAATGATTTACAACAAACTGGACAACTCCTACTTAATGAAACTAGAACATTCTTACTGTGCCCTTTAGAGGACTGGTTTGTAGTCTTCCGTGTTTCAATATACTTTTTCAGTTCTTCCATCTTTTTCTTGTGTACTTTTCGAATGTGACGACGAACACCTCGTCTAGAATTGAACTCTTTTCGACAAAGACAGCATATCAATTGGTGACCAAAATCAGAACTGTCAGACGTTTCTGAGTCAGCCTGTGGTTCCTGAGGCTGTTCGTCAGTTGCAGTAGGTACAAGTTCCTCTGCGACAACCTCTACGGGAGGAGTTTCCACAGTTTCCACCTCTGCATCTGTATCTGGGACTGTTTTGGGCTGTTCTGTATTAGTTTCCTGTATTTGAACTTCAGTTTGTTCAGGAGTACTGCTTGACTCTGTGACTTCAGTAGGATTATCAGTCCTTGAAATATATTGAAATACTGCATTCTGATTAGTTTCTATGGGCTCTAGCTTAATAATATATTCTCTCTTGTCTACTCTTGGATATATGGCTTCTAGGAGATCATTTATGGCTTGGCTTTGTTTATCATTTACATCAGGAAGGTCTGTTAAGAAAAAAAACAACATTTTAATCTGAAATTAGCCTGCTCTAAAATTTTTAAATATATTACAAAACTCACTGCATTCTGATTAGTTTCTATGGGCTCTAGCTTAATAATATATTCTCTCTTGTCTACTCTTGGATATATGGCTTCTAGGAGATCATTTATGGCTTGGCTTTGTTTATCATTTACATCAGGAAGGTCTGTTAAGAAAAAAAACAACATTTTAATCTGAAATTAGCCTGCTCTAAAATTTTTAAATATATTACAAAACTCTATCTTTTATTACAAATTGTATCAAT